CGCAATTTGTTGTGTGCTGGCCAGAAAGCGTTTGTGCCACACGAGCAGTTTTCTTCCAGAGGCTTAGGCTGCTAGCTTGTGTCATGCACCGCTCTCCAGCTGTTTTCAATGGGCAGATGAAGTTAAGGCGCCGTGTCCCCCTCAGTCATCACATTCTTACACACTTAGAAGTTGACACACACACACACACATTCTCAGTCGTAATTCTGAATAAAGAGGTTGAAATGAATAGTTGAAAACGTATGTCTGTTTGTCTGAAAGTCCTATTTTTTTCCTTTTATTTAAATTCTTGCAGATACAAAAACAAATTATGGAGGTGCTTTTGTCAACTGTGTTTTTATTTTTCATCTCTACAGTGAATTCCACAGGATCACCAATCAGAATCTACCACGTTCCTTCTTTGCTGCTCTTGACAAATACACTCAGCTACTAAAGCTCTATAGAAAGAGGACGACTAGCATTTGGGGTGAGAAGATGGGAGAACTTCTGATGGCATATGAAGAGCAGGTATGCATATGTTTAATGCATTACATTTATACTGAATGTGAGCAGTGGGCCTTAACACACCCCTATACATACCTTGTCTTTGTTGGTGCAACAGGACAAAAACAATATCAGTGCAGCTAGAACAGCAGCCCTGGCTGGCCTACCGCTGTACTTGAAGGAGAATTCATCAGAAATCTTCAGAACTTGCAAAGTCTTTTTGTGTCCTATCATTTTCCCAAACTCAGTGGCTTCATCTACTTTGCAACAAGAAATCACTGTTACATAAAAAAAAAATCTGAACTAAAAGTTCAACATAATTTTTACTATGAAGTGCTATAGAGACAAGAAATATACTTAGTGTTTCCACATAATATTTTTTCCATGGGACAAATAAGTGACATGTCAATAATTCACCTATTTAGTCTTGTTAAGCCTGTGTTCCCCCTTAACTCAGTGTTGACTGTTGAAGGTTATGACATAAGTGTAGATTTTGGAAGACTTGGTGTCATTTAGAGATCAGTTTTTGTCTTGGTCTTTATTCTGTGGACAGTAATGGCTAGTGATTTAGGGGCACAGACCATTTCTATTGATAATGTGACAATATTTTCTTAAGTGGGGTTGCATACCATGGCTCACATGTTCAAATATCCATATATCTGTAAAGAAGTAAAGTAAGAAGTAAAATATTTCAGGTAGAACACAAATGCATTGTTTATGAACATTTTACTGATTGGTTCAGTATAAATCAAGAGTCAAGAATCTTTGTCATTACGCATAGCACAACGACATTTCTTCCAGCAGCTCTCAGCTTAAAAGGCACATTATTTACATAAATAACACAAGAATTGTACAGCCAATATAAGAATATGAACAGATAAAAATGAGGATGTGTAGGACCTAATCAGGTCAACAGCATATTAGCAGCAGAAGAATGTAGTCCCATTCTAAAGCATGCATGTGCAACTATCTAAATCCAGATCTACATAAAATACACTCAGAGATAGACAATCACGAGATTACCAGCCTGCCTTATTTAAGTAAGTTCAGTATAAGTGAAGAATTAAAAAAGCCTTCTCTGTTTACATAAAGGAATCCCATAAACAATTCCTGGATCTGCCATGTTCTTTGGTCTATGGCCCAACTTTCCACCAAATGTAAGGAAAATCTGTTAATAGAAGCTTTCACCTAACTAGAAAATAAACAACAAACAAGACCTAATGTTACAGCCACTTTTGAGCACCAGAGTCTTACTTTGTCAAAATGTTCTTGTCCATATTGTCCATCCTATGGCTCTGTCAGGGCCCTTCCCACAGGTGTTTTACTGAAGTTGTGTGAAGCTATGTTGGGAATTACATCAATTACAAACCTCAAACTTTGTGAGCTAATGAAAATGATAATGTTTTAAATTGTCACACCCTAACAGGTGCAACAAAACTAATAAAAGATTCAGGTATAATCTGAAATCACCTATGTACTGTGGGTGGACTATGGATGTGCAGAGGGTTTCATTTTTGA